TTTATGTTCCGACCTTAACATGGGGAATTCCTCCCTCTCTAACCTCGGACCTCGTTCGAATTTCAGCTTGAAACCCCCTGCGCTCTACGATGGAGTAACCTACTATGCATCCTGTAGCTGACCTTCTCTGTCAGACGCCAACACAACACATAATTGACTCAACCCCTCCCAACCCCGACCCTACCCACCACGCTCAACAGCGCCTCGCGCGCACCGGCTCACCAGCTCTCACTATACACACCTTCTCGCGCTTACCAGCTTCCACCCGGACGCACTTCACTCCCCCGAACCGCAAGAACCACCATACTGCTCTGACAAAAATAACTATACCAAATCACCTCCTGCATCCCTGGGAAAGCTGTCGGCGCTGTGAAAAAAGCAAGTCCAATTATCCCTCGGCCCCCCCGCGGCAGCATAACCTGATGCGCTCACCGCCACGCTCAGCCTCTCATCCCCACCCTCCCCCCTCCCCTCGCTTGCACACAACTTGATCCCCTCGCTGCCCTCACTTCGGCCCTCCATCCCCGTGCCCGCCGTCATCGTGTGGTTGGAGAGCAGCGGCGCGTAAGGAGCCTCCTGAGAGGAAGGGGCCACATTTTTTTTCAGTTGTGTACTTTCAAATTCTAGCGCACTCGAGCTGGTTTCTCCATTCTTACCTACCCTACCTTTAAATCTGTTATCACTGCAAACCTGATGGACAAAGAGAGAAAGGGGCCCAATGCACGTGCTGTTGGCCCCACCAATACTATCAGCTCCAGAGCTGAATTCATGGCTTTTCCTGAACCAGACCAGACCCTGGTACCACTCTCATTTCAACCACCCAGTGTTATTCATATTTCAGTTGACATGGTACGAGAGCCTCATTTCATGTCAACATGAGGTCAAACAGCTTGTGAAACCTGAACTAATCCCATCACGTACACCCTATCAGCCCCACGTACCTTTAATGTAGTTGAGGGTTTCTTTCAGGTGGGCAAAGCTGTTAAGTAGAGGGTCCTGCTCTTCATCCTGGGCAGAGAAAAACATGATGAGAGCACTAAGACATTCAAAGTAGTTCAATCAAATATAATATAATATTTAGTTTCAGGGTCTATTACATTGAATGTGTGCTATAAAATCAACAAATCTAGTAACAGCAATTATTTTGAATATTAAGTTGTGACTTTTTAATTACAGCAGCATGTAAAAGGTATATGGATCTGCATGTAGAAAAAGATTATCTCTAAATAAGACAAATCTTGGTACTGCTCAAATGTCCTGCTGTACAATTAAACTTCACATTGCTCTTAATGTTATGTTGTTATTACAACAAATGTAATGGCACACATTCTATAGCTTTATCAAAGGTTTGTGTTTGGTTGCTTTCACTTTATCTTAAGGCTCTTAAAAGAGGCGTTGGTTAATAGGTAATAAGGCCCATATAAATCCTATATGCTTAGAAGTCATCCAGAATATGCCACTGAAAAGAGCTTGGCTTAATGTGGAGTGTCTTTGTAGCCGAGTGGTCACAGCCATGTTACCTCGCTGCAAGGGCCCGGGTTCCAAAAGCCTTAGGAACTTGAGCTACATGTTTTAGATTCTTTTTTTATAGAAGCATTATTTAATTTGATTAAATTCATTGTAAAAAGTATTAATAACACATCTGTCTCACTTCAGATCAAGTATCTGAAAAAATATAGTTCCAAATCCTCCCTATAGTTTCTAAACCAGGGACCCAAATGCATGCTGGTCCTTCTACACTAGCATGCAAAAGAAGTAAAGATGAGGTTATTCAGACGTTTGTGTGGACTCTTTAGCCATTCCTGAGATTATCATTGGGAAAACAGTTCATTTCAAAATGAAGCTTTCATCACAATATCAGAGTTACGATGAGCAGAGAAAGAATTAGTGGCAAGAAAAAGTTCTACCCTCAAGGGGGGATATGTTCAAATGCTCGGCCACCATAAGCCCAACAACCAAAATACAGTATGTCTGGATATGGGTTTGAGAGGCAGAGCATCAGAAAACAAACTTCAAATCAAAAAGGAAATGTACCAAAATCATAGTTTTCCTCACTGATCCAACAGTCACAAACATTGGTTAGATGGGGAACCCTACAGACTCCAAAGTGTTGGCTCTCTTTCTGCCCACTGAGCAGCCCCTCTATCGTTGTTTGGAAGCAGTTTATTCAAAGGTTTTGTCAAATCACAAAACCTTATACCATTTAGTCCATTTGTATATCTTTATTAGAGCTAGTCTTTATTCAAATAAAGTATAGTACAAATATAATTGTTGTGATTAACTCACCAGTGGAGTGTGGGTATTCCACCTGGAGTTCCTCTTGATAGCTCCAACAACGGTACTAATCTCACCCTGGACGATGTAGATGTTCTTGTCCACCATGCTGCTTTCTGAGAGACAAACGGAGAAGGAGAAGGTTAGTTTGGCCTATAATGATATATTATCAATTGTATTGTATTTAACAAGCTATGCGTTGCTACGTATGTATGTATGTATATATTTTATTCAAATCTTTCATCAAATAACCCGTCTCTCAAATATTTCATTTGAAATGTGTCTTCCTTCTACTATTTCAAAATGTTTCAGTCAGCCTGATGAACACTTATCAGCTCTTCAGGATACGTCATTCTACAGTGACTTCAGTGTCAGTGAGACATCACTGATATCTGTTGTGAATTTGAGACAAAAAAACAACAAACCGCTTAACATATTGTTATCTATTATGTTTCGACATTATCAGAAAATGAACTTCTATAGTATATACTTCTATGTCTATACAAAAGATGAGATATAGGAATAAAGAGCCTACTATAAATAATTAAATTGATACCACCTCGACATTAATTCAATCCGTCTGATTGTGCTCCTCGTGGCAAACATCTTTTATCATGAGATTAATGTATTTCAAGTCGGATATGCAATCATTTCGAAAATATTAAATTATGAAATTCTGCAAGAAGTATATAATAGATTAGACTGTAAACTTATATTTCAACTCAAAACCTTTACCCTAAAATGAATATACATTCTGAGAAGCAAACAGCACATTTCCATGTGTACATTGAGAATGCCTTAAACCAATATGGATAACCAAACAAAATCAGAATGACATACTGTTCATATTTGACAAGCAGTATACCACAAAGTGGTTGGATTAACCTTTTTCCCTGTGTCATGAAAGCCATGGCATATAATACTCTTACATTACAGGAAGATGTATGAATGTATGGACTAGGTGACAGAGGCCACATTCTTTAAATTCAAGGTAAGCACCCTATTGAATAAGATAAGACGATTAAAATATGGAAGGTAGAGGCCGGGATGTAGAGGCATAGGGATAGGCGAACAGCTGATAAGACTGTCATATATGAGGCTCCACTAGCGAATAGGATTTTCAAACCAACAATTCTTATTTGAATCAGTGGGGTTAAGTCCGGGTCTGACATTGTATTTCCCGAGAAATCTGCACAGTGCAGGGACAGTAAACTGTCAACTTAGTGGAAACATATTAGTTCAGGAAAAACCTTTACCTTTTATGATTGGAAAATGTTTTAACAATAAAAAGTAAGTCTCTCTTTCCTTCATATTAGTAATAAATGCTCTATTTTTATTTAGCCGGCAAGTATAAGTCACTGCATACTGTCTCACATCAGCTGCTTATTGGAGCAGGAGACAATGTACAGTACTACGTAGACCATTGTTTCATAAGACTGGGCACAGGGTACCAGACAGGGAAACAAATGCTCCAATCAACACGTTCAACTCATCAAAGTAGATAAAGCCATCTCAAACGTGTACATGTCTCCCTTTCAGTACCTTTCACTCCATGTGAATGGAAGCTCAGGGGCCAGAGGGACTCTATGCTTTTCACAATGGTTCTAGATCATCTAGATTAAAAGCGTTTATGGAACAGTTTATTTTTGCCAGGTGATGGTGTTAACACATTCTCTGCATGAAAAGAGCTTTTCTGGAGACAGACTTGCAAAGAAGCACATGGACAACTGAACCTTTTGGAGAAGATGCAAGACTCCCTCCCTTGCTCTGATATCAATGCTAACAATCAGCTGGGTAGATGGACATCTCTGCCTGTCACTCCCAACACATAAGTAACATAATGCAGTCATGGAATAAAAGCTACTGATACAAGTCAGCTTGTTGTCTGTCAGGTAAGAAGGTGCTAGCAGGCTAATTAGATTACCTAGCTACAGTATGTCAGTGGCATATATTCAGAGGCGAAGCTATCAAGCTAGCTCTTCACCATGCCATGGTGTTGAAAACCTGTTGACAGACCTCTGGGACAAACACAATAAAAGGACAAGTGACTACTATTAAGTTCATATAAATCGACCTACTAGTTTTAAAAATAGTTTCATATATTTCCTATCCAGAAAGACCACAGCTAACTACTTAGCTACGTGTTCATTTGCTAAGGAGAGGTGTCTTCCGTGTATGTCCTCTCGGACAACAGTAATCTTTTCATGACATAATATCAAAACGCCTGTTGGAAGATATATATACGTACGCGTCTGTGGTTGTTAAGAAATAATGAGGTTACCTGTGTGTGGCTGCTATTTCAGAGATGGAGTCCTGCTGTAGCTTATGCTAGCCTAGTTCGGAAAGCTAGCAGGCTAGCCGGCCAACAGTGAATGAAGAAGACCTAAATTCAGTTCAGCACGACAACAGGAAAAACTGCTGTTTTCGGACATTCCACTGCGTGATACCGTAATAATTCCAAACACCACGTATTCATTCACTCTTCAAAATAATGCTCCATAAGTGAATAAAGTGAACACCTTCCTGCAGCTGTCAATCTGGCCTTGGTAAACACACTGACGTGGAAAAGCTCCGCAGTCTCAACCTAGCCTGATGACGGGTTATGATTGACAGGCTACTAAACTCTTCATTTTAACCGTAATATTACGCTTTACAGTTCAAGAAAATCAGACAATAAGAGTTTCAGATTTGGGAAAAAAAAAATTTTCTTTTCTAACTAGATAGACAAGATACCGATTCCACAAAAAGAAATATCACTTGTGGTGCAGAGAAATAAGGGCGGGACAAAGGCAGCAGTACAGAAGTAGTTTGGTTGCGCCGGGCTGATGACGAAAGCACGAGCTGCAGCTCCATGGCAGACTCCAGCCTCTCTCTGTGTGGAGGCTCTCTCTCTCAGTGAGACTGTGGAGGCTGGTTTCTGTTCACTCAGGCTCAACTTCACTGAGACTGTGTGGAGGCTGCTTTCTGTTCACTCTTTATCAGGCTCAACTTCACTCTCAGTGTGTCTCAGCTTCTTGCTCTGGCTCTCATTGTGGGGTTAATTTCTCTGAAGAAGAATATTGTATTACAGATTTAGAGAAATTTTTTCTCTCATGCTGATCTGTTCAACTTTGTGATTAATTATAAATAAGCATATGCTATAAAGCCTAGTTTTGCATGTGGAAATAGCAACAGAGCAAAAGCTAATGACAACTGTAAGGTACAGCTTGAATGCTTACCAAGAGCCCCATGAAAAATAAAACATGTTAAATATATCTTTTTATGATGGACGTAATTTACTATTTTATATATGATATGATATTATATTGTATCTTATTATATAATAATATAATATGTTATATTATATTATAATATATTGTATTATTATATTTTTATATATTATATTGTATAGGAGCAAATGAACTCTGTTAAACTGTGTAAGTGTATACTTAGTTTTTACTGCATCTACAGTTTGCAAATGAAAATCAGATTGTGAGGATCCAGTAACATAAACATATCTCTCAAGGTTGGTTTTAGACTGTTGGTCAAATAAAACCATCAACCTAGGCATTACCTTGAGTTTTAGAAAAGGCTTATGAACATGTTTCACTATATTTAGATATTGTGCATGTCAAATAATAATGATATGTTTTGGTTGCTGCCCTATTTGGTTTATAGCTAACCATCCAACAAAGCATTTAACATGACTGGCTTACATTGGATATAAACACTGTAGAAGTGAAAGATTGATGTATTTTTTCACCTGAGATTACAACCCGACATCACGTGGCCCAAATCATTTGGTCCAAGTCTCAAATGACTTGGGTCATGAACAACAGAATGGATGTTTCTGTTGTTCATCCATTCTTTTGTTAAGGGTCATTGCTGCTTCACTAATGTGGTTTTCCCCAAATATATGATCAATGTTTAGTATTATGCTTATTCACAAGCTACAAAAATCATTTGTGGAGTATAATTGTTTGCTGTTGAGGTTTTGTTTTTAGGATTCTTCATGGGAACATATGAAGGGTTGCTCTGTGTTTAAAGTCTAAGCATGTGTTTTCTCACCTGTTGGATTTTCCACAGTAAGGAATATGTCTGCACCTTTGAGGCAATGAAAACGATTTGTATTGTTTGACATGCACTTGTTGATACATTGCAATGTTCTCACAAATAGGAAATCAAACGTGCGGTGGAAGATTGATTTAATCCCCATTCCCTAAAGAACCAGCTTTAGTCATTCAAGAAACATTATCTTTTTGGGAACTCATCTTTTATCACTATGAAGTGGTGTTGCATATCCTCATCTGATCCACCATATCCTGACCCCATCCCCGTTCAGCTGCATATGAAACAGCTGGATTTCTCTTGATTACATTTTCGTCGTCCAAACAAAAAATATTTATGTGAGCTAGTGTCTTTGACGTGAGTCTGTTCATCATTAATTACAGCCATGAAATAAGAGTGGGGAAATACTTTTATTTTTATCACTTCAATCTCATAGTTTATAAAAATGTCGCTTAGTTTATAAGATCACTCGTGGGCTGGCTCCTCCTCCTCTGGCTGGCTTCATCAGCCTAAAGTCCACCTCAACCAGGGTTACTAGAGGTGCGGCTATAGGGGAGACTGCATCATCCCATTTAGGAAAAGCTCATTCAGCCAGGCTGTCTTTTCATTCCACGCATCCCATTAATGGAATTCAATACCACAACCAATAATTTAGTTTAGTTGATTTATTTATAGTGTCGTGGACAGTCCCCATCGATGAACTGTCACAAAAACAGTAAATGGTGCAGCTTTAGCCGATTACTGTTTTTGTGACAGTTCATCGATGGGGACTGTCCACGACACTATAAATAAATCAACTAAACTAAATTATTGGTTGTGNGTGATTCAGTCCTCAGGCGTCATGGGAGGGGGAGGCCTGGCCTGAGATAGGCCCTTGCTTAAACCAGCCGAATTCAGGCTCTGCTTCATTGGCTGGCAACTTCATTTTCCACTTCAGGTGGAAAATATGGATCGGACAGCGTTGACAAATACCTTGATGTAACTCCACCCATTGCAGGGGGCTGCCACACGATCAGGGGGGATTTCAAAGGGAGAGTCACACCAGTCAGAATTACTCTCTTTTTGTACCAATGAAAAAGTTTTCTTTCAGAATAATCCAACTTGCCCAAGATGATAGGTAATGGGAGGACTAAATTTAATCTTTTTCACTCCTTTCTGGCCGCGCTTGCTTCAGGGAGAAAGCGATTTCCTGCTGTGCAACAGGATCATATCTTCAAAACTAATACGCGCACTCAAGACACGGAGTTGTTTTTTGATTGGTGACATCCTCAGGTCTGCCCCTGCTTCAGGCGACGAGGCGGTGGGCGACTGCAGGAGCACGGTGCAGCCTCCAGAGGTGTCGGTGTGCACACATTCTCCCCAGTTTAAACTGACAAAGGCCACAAGGAAGCGGGTTTCATTACGGGGGTCAGGAGGAATCCCCTTTTCAACCCTACCTCAGCCGCTCATACTAGGCCACTGGGGACGCCTTGGGTGAAGAGCCAACCAACCTCATCGACTAGTCATCCCCATTTGCTATGCCTTAGTTTTACTGCACGAATATTGCAGTTTACTTATATTTATTTGGACTACATGGCAACTGCAAACACCCAGCATTGAAGTGGTCACATCGGCACGTTTACTGGATTAAACACACTCTGATTCTTTTGCATTAGTTGTAATATAAAATGACTCCGTGACTGTCTATTTCGATCATGTCGTGTATTGAAGGACTGTAACATGCCACCTCTATATTTAATCGCCACAGTAATGCGGCCCCTGGTTGCCCAGCAGCGATACAAAAAAGAGTGATTTTGTCATTGTGGTTTCTCCCAGGGACTTGGTGGCACATCCTGGCACAATCATTTCTTGATGTTCTGGTTAACACCAAGCTGTGTATTTTTTTACAGCAGCAGGAATGATTTTTAGATCTGGTCAGGTACAGTATGCTCGTTACACACAAGATATAAGCATGCCCTTCCCCCTAATAAAGAAGCGGAGCAACTGTAATGACCTGATTAATAAGCCAGGAGAAGATAATCTGGGGGAGCGGATCTGTTTCTGCTTAAATCCATGACTGACTATAAAGTATGCATCGTCCTACTTATTCTCATTTCATGACACTACTTAACTGGTGTTTCATTTGCTTTTCTATGCCTACTTTGCGGGTTAAATGCTGTTTAGAATACTTAAACTGCTTAGCTGCTGCAGGTTTGCGCTTCTATGTTGATACAGTTGAATCTTCAGTTTTATGTTACATGCTAACAACAATGTCATATGAGCAAGCAGTCTAAAGGAGTTGTGGAGCCTTAAGGCTTGTCTATTAAGGGTTCTTGTTATTTGGACTGATAAAATCATTTAACAGGACATTCAGTCAATAGTGTCCCCCTTAAAGCTCAGCTGTTGTATCAAATCCACCGTGTTTTTAAAATGCAAACAGCAATATGATTTTGAAGCGATCGTGGTGAGGAGGAGGATTTTGAAATGTACAATTAAAATGGGTGTTCTTATTGGGGTACGTAATAATACGCACTGGCTGATATTTAAATCCTCTTTCTTAAATAAAAAATGAAGGAATTCCCCCCCCCTGGTGTCAGCTGGGGACCGGAGGTGAGGCAGTGATCTCTGCAAGAGGGGGGGGGAAGGGGGGGGGCGCTCAGGACTTTTTTTTATGAGGGAGGTCACACAACCGTGGATTATTAAGAGTGCATTCAGATCAGAGGATACCGCGAAGCCTTGTGCTGTTGTGGAAAAAAAGAGGCATAATCGGCCGCTGATGCACGATGAATGCGCAGTGAATTACGTTCATAAACATCTCCAGATCACACACACTGAGCGGCACGCTCCAGTCAATGTTGGCGCTTTGCTAACGGTGTTTAATCCTATGTGCTGTGGCTTCCGGCCATCTGGGCTCAAGAGGATTTAAGCAGCGTTCGAGGGCAGAGGGGAGGGGATCGAAATGCATGATACGGCAAAATTAAGATGACTCAGTAATTCAGGCTACGCTGTACAAACATACTGATATATTCCCTCATGCCCCGCTAACACTGCACAGTCCCAGCAGTGTTGGTTTCATTAGGGTTTAACTGTTCCCTCGGCAAATCTGTATTTAGCTTGAAGTCAACTTAAAAGACCTTCACAATTCATCTGTGTCTCCAAAACCAGACCAATGTACTGTTACTGATATCGGGCGATAATATGCAGCTGCATAACTGTAGCACCTAAAGTTAGTTTCAATTATTCTTATCATTATTTAAAAAAGGAATTATATCTGGGTGGGACTAGTAGTGGTACATTTCTGGTACAAGTGACAAAAGTCTTTGACAAAAAAGCTGCAGATACTTCATGTGCCATCTAAATAGTTGGAAGAAGCAGTTAGTCAATCCTACATGTTCAGAGATCTTGATTTAGGTGATCCAAATACTAATGTGTGAATAATAGAACTGAGGGATTGTGAGTATTATTAAAATAATATCGGCTAGCTTTAGCTGTCGGTCAGTGCTCCACTCCTATCTATCTACAACATACCAGTCTGGATATTGACATGTAG